CAAGCTGGCCTTTGACATTTAAGAAATATGTTCATTCAGTATAGATTTACCAAGCTCTGACTTTAATGCCAGGCCCTGTTTCAGGTGCTTGAGTGAGTATGTATGTGTGTATGTATGTATTTATTTATTTATGAGACAGAGTATCACTCTGTTGCCCGGCCACCACACCCAGCTGGTGCTTCAGTAATTAGATCAACCCCTGCTTTTCATGTAAATATACTGAAATATGTAGGATAAAATGTAATTTATATAAGCCACTAAGTCTAGATTTCTGAATTGCCTCCATTCATTAGCCCTTAGATGGTAATTCAACTATCTGATTAATAAAAATTACCAATAGTTGACATTTTAAGTGATAGTTCCAAGTAAACTTGAAATATTATGGTGATTTGTCTATTAAATATTGCCCAGAAGCAGAAATGACATTTTCTGTGAAGAATGCTGCTATGTTTTAAAAAATTAATCAATTAATTATGATTTCTTTTTTTCACCCAAAGAGATCTTTAATGAATTCTGTGTTGTTGGGTTTTTTTTTTCTTTTTTTTGGAGATGGGGTTTCACTCTGCTGCCCAGGCTGAAGTGCAGTGGTATGATCTTGGCTCACTACAACCTCTACCTCCCAGGTTCAAGTGATTCTCCTGCCTCAGCCTCCCGAGTAGCTGGGATTACAGGCAACCACCACTGCGCCTGGCTAGTTTTTGTATTTTTAGTGGAGACAGGGTCTCACCATGTTGGCTAGGCTGGTCTCAAACTCCTGACTTCAAGTGATCCGCCTGCCTTGGCCTCCCAAAGTACAGGGATTACAGGTGTGAGCCACTGCAGCCGGTCAGAGATCTTTAATTATTTCTGTACATGACTTGACTTCCTACCAAGTAACTAGTCCAAAATGTACCAAGATAGAGTCTGACAGAATACACATTCCCTGCGTCATGTACAACCCATTCAATTTCTCACATTGGCACTCTACACCTGGAACAGATCAATGCTAGTTTGTCACATGGTAACCAATCACTACTGTCAGCTTACACCTATCTTATTTCAAGTTTATCTGCCTCATATGAGTCACAGCTCTAAGCTGTGGGCAATTCCAAAGACTTTATTTTATTTTATTTTTTTGAGGCTGAGTCTCCTTCTGTTGCCCAGGATGAAGTGCTGTGGTGCAATCTGAGCTCACTGCAACCTCTGTCTCCCAGGTTCAAGCAATTCTCCTGCCTCAGCCTCCCGAGTAGCTGGGATTACATGTGCTTGCCACTATGCCTGGCTAATTTTTGTATTTTTAGTAGAGTTGAGGTTTCACCATGTTGGCCAGACTGGTCTTGAATTCCTGATCTCAAGTGATCCACCCGCCTCAGCCTCCCAAAGTGCTGGAATTACAGGTGTGAGCCACCGTGCCCAGCACCAAAGACTTTTAATCAAGATTCACGTTGGAGGTTGTTGGAGAATCTCATCTATCTTTTAATTTCTGTGCTCTAGGCTATCCCTCAGGCCAAGGCTAGCTCTTCAAATTTTTTACTTCCTTTGCGAAGCAGGCCCAGGGACTAAAACCAAGGATCTTTCCAAAGTGTACTCATCAGCACCCATTTGACAGCTTTTGGATTCTGCCCTTGTCTTTAAAATAAGGCTCACTATAGAGGCAGGAACATAATTATGCTCTCTCACCTGTATCCACACTCTTATGGCCAGCTCTCTCACAAGTCAAGCACACAAAATCTTTTCTGTTTCAAGGGACCGACAAGTCTAACAAACGTGAAAAAGTGTGAAAGCGTAAGCCGTCTTAAATAGGTTCTTACAGGCTTGATATCCTTCCCTCATGAAAGCCCCTCCTCCCAGTATGCAGGCCTACAAAGGATGACTTAGTACCCATCTCTCAGCCTCTGCCTCACACAGAAATGATAACTTTGGTAGTATTCTCTGATAAATAAAAAATTAAACTTTGGTTCAAAAAGTAGATAATTCATGAATTTCCTCACTCCTCATTTCAACCTACTTTAGCACAGATTTCTGCCTCTGACAGTTTGGAAACTGAATTGGCCTTCTAGATCCCAAACTTAGATTTATCAGGGTAAAAAACTCAGATTCGGAGTATTTTTTTCCTTATTTATAAAATTTAAACTCATACAACAAATGGGAAATTTAATGAAGTACATATTTCTATTTTCATTGTGCAGTGGTTGTGCCTCAAAGGAGCTGGGACTCAATATGATATAAAATTGCAAGGTTGCCTGAGAGATTCACAATCAATGTGCCATTTAAAAAGCCTGGGCCAGGCCGGGCATGGTGGTTCACACCTGTAATCCCAGCACTTTGGGAGGTCTACACGGGCAGATAACTTGAGGTCAGGAGTTCGAGACCAGTCTGGCCTACATGGTAAACCCCATCTCTATTAAAAAAACAAACAAAAAAAATTAGTGGGGCATGATAGTGCATACCTGTAATCCCAAATACTTGGGAGGCTGAGGCAGGAGAATCGCCTGAACCCGGGATGCAGAGCGTGCAGTGAGCAGAGCTTGCACCACTGCACTCCAGCCTGGGCAACAGAGTTAGACTCCGTCTCAAAAGAAAAAAAAAAAAAAAGCCCTCCTCTATCATGCACTGAAACACTGGCAGCCATAACGATGGAAGGAGAGGGAAAATATGTGAGTTCCTCTTGGGGGAGGGTGAGTTCTGATAAACTCAAAACCAAGCCCCCCTTTTCTAGTGCAACAAAGTATGTCAATCCCTTCTCCACCCCCAAATACCATCTGAAACCATAACTGAATGACAACAATTTATTTATTTTTTTTTGCGATGGAGTTTTGCTCTTGTTGCCCAGGCTGGAGTGCAATGGCACCATCTTGGCTCACTGTGACCTCTGCCTCAGCCTCCTGAGTACCTGGGATTACAGGTGCCCACCAACATGCCTGGCTAATTTTTTTTTTTTTTGAGACGGAGTCTCGCTCTGTCGCCCAAGCTGGAGTGCAGTGGCGCAATCTCTGCTCACTGCAAGCTCCACCCCCCGGGTTCACGCCATTCTCCTGCCTCAGCCTCCCGAGTAGCTGGGACTACAGGCGCCCGCCACCACGCCTGGCTAGTTTTTTTGTTTTTTTGGTAGTTTTAGTAGAGACGGAGTTTCACTGTGTTAGCCAGGATGGTCTGGATCTCCTGACCTTGTGATCCGCCCGTCTCGGCCTCCCAAAGTGCTGGGATTACAGGCCTGAGCCACCGCGCCCGGCCTAATTTTTTGTATTTTTAGTAGAGAGGGGGTTTCACCATGTTGGCTAGGCTGGTCCTGAACTCCTGACCGCCAGTGATCCACCCGCCTCTGCCTCCCAAAGTGCTGGGATTACAAGTGTGAGTCACCATCCCTGGCCTAAAAACCTCTTATAAGTGATGGTAACTTAGGCCCCCATTCTTTAAAGGAGAACAGCTGCCCCTCTGGCAACCTCCCAGGTGAAACAGGGCTAACCTTATCAGCCTGCCAAACTTAACTGGCTTTGTTTGCTTTTAATCGATACTTTTAGCTAATCTTAAAACTCCCACTAGCAAGTCACATGGCCAAGCAATATATAACTAAACTCCCACCATTTTCCTTACAGATAACATTTCTGACTGTGGTTAACTACATAACAGGTGTTTAAAGCTGTTTTTCAGGATCCAGGGGGCAACTCATGTCCAATCCAAGCTGGTTGAGATCACGAACCCTTCAACTAGGCCTGCACAGGTGCCCAGAGAGTGACCTTTTAGCATCAGAGGGCCTAAAATTCCACCTTCAGATCATGCTAACCCGATTTTCTCCACACACGTCCTATGAAGAACCATGTAGCTTGATTATGCTTGTGCAGAAACCCCAACTACCTCATCTTTCCAATCTGCCAATCACCTTTCCTACCCATCAATCACATTTTCTCACACTTTAGACCACCCTACTCTCTGTTCCGTAAGTACCCACAAGCCCTATTTTCAGAGGCAGATTTGAGATTTGTTCTCCCATCTCCTTTCACAAGCAGCCTTGTGAATAAAATCTTTTCTCTTTTGCAAACCCACTGTCACAGTGATTGGCTTGCTATATGCAGGCAGAATGGACTTGGCTGGTAACACAGGGATGCCATGAGAATAAATGAACAATGGTTTGGTAATACATTCTGAACAATGAACTAAAGGGACCGAATTCAATGAAAGATTAGTATTTTCAAAACATGGCTTGTCAGAGACATTTCTGCTTATGGAATACTTCATGACTTGCTTTAATATAGAACTACTATCATTTATTTCTCTTATATGCCTTCCCTCCCCTTACTGATGAAAAATAAGCTTCCCAAAGCCTGAAATATTTCAGCAAGATATTTCACTGCTAAAGTTATACACAGGAAATACAATTTTTCCAGACCCCTATAAAAACCTTAAATATTACACTCTCGTCTCTGAAGTCTATGGCCAACTGTTACTCCATTTGTGTGAATAACAGAAGATTGGTGTAATTTTTAGGCACAAGAGAGATTTGACTTGCCTTTAGGTTTTATATGGACTGCTTTCCTTGTAATGATTTTACTGAAAGAAATATATATATATTTTTTGGAGACAGAAGTTCACTCTTGTTGCCCAGGCTAGAGTGCAACGGCGCAATCTTGGCTCACTACAACGTCTGCCTCCCAGGTTCAAACGATTCTCCAGCCTTAGCCTCCTGAGCAGTTGTGATTACAGGCGTACGCCACCTCGCCCAGCTAACTTTTGTTTTACTAGTAGAGACGGGGTTTCACCATGTTGGCCAGGCTGGTCTTGAACACCTGACCTCAGGTGATCCACCAGCCTTGGCCTCCCAAAGTGCTGGGATTACAGGCATGAGCCACCATATCTGGCCAAAAGAAATATTTTAAAAAGCATATTGTATTATAGTTTTTTTCTATTCTACATTAGACAATGGTCTCAAGCAATGTCCCTTAGTCAACTTTAAAGCTAGCAACAGACCATAATCCTGGTAAACAATAAGAAGCTGGAACATTAGGTTACTTAGTCATACTCACCTTAAATTATTTTGTTGACCAGGTGGAATGACACTATAATAAACAGGCATTCCCGTTGTGGGCATAGATCCTTGATTAGACTGATTAGGGAACATAACAGGCTGTTGATAAGTCTGATGGGGAATTCCTTGAGAACCTTGAGGCAGTGAAACCTAAAATTTGAAAGACAATTTCAAGAGAAAAAGGTTTTTTTTCAAAGGCTTGCAAATGTTTGTTTTCCACCTCCATAAACTTTATTTTTTTTGAGATGAAGTCTTGCTCTGTTGCCCAGGCTGGAGTGTAGTGGTGCAATCTTGGCTCACTGTAAACTCTGCCTCCTAGGTTGAAGCAATTCTCCTCCCTCAGCCTCCTGAGTAGCTGGGACTACGGGCATGTGCCACCATGCCCAGCTAATTTTTGTATTTAAACACCTGTTACATAGTAGAGATGGGGTTTCACCACGTTGGTCAGGCTGGTCTCGAACTTCTGACCTCAAGTGATCCGCCCACCTTGGCTTCCCAAAGTGCTGGGATTACAGGCGTGAGCCACCGTGCCCAGCAGCCTCCATAAACTTTGAAAGCATGAGCAGTCAGAAATAAGCTAACACTGCCAACAGGCTTTCCTGTCAGCCACAGCATTACCACTTTATTATGTTAGCTATTGCTTCTGGCTAGCATTTGTAAATGTACGTACTGTAGGCTGGATGCACTGAATTATGAAAAGGTTAAATTATGAAAAAAAAACTTTCCACATAAGGATGGGCATTTGATATAGAAAGAGTAACACAGTTTACCTCAGGTAGAAATAAGTAAAAATCAGGCAGGATGGCAGTGAGATGCAATGGATTAGAAAAAGTGAGAGCTTTGGAGCTTAAGGTACCTACATGTGATATCAGTCATCTATCTAAGTGATATTGGACAAGTGACTATTCTGAGGCTCCTTAGCTTCTTACCAGAAAAAATGGAAACACCACCTCCATTAGAAAGGAGGTATTATTTCCATTATGAGATAGCACAATTAAAGGATCTAGTATAGTAGGCATTCAATAGACAGTGTATCTTTCAATTCTGTTTTCTATATCATCTAAATGAAATCACATGAACACAATTCTGTATTGCCACTCTCCAGTTTCTACAGTTTCTAAGATAGAAACAACACAGGCATAAAAGGTTCTTAATTTACAAATGTACCACAATATTAGAGTTTGATTACAGTGATTTTGTTAAATAAAGCCAATATATATTCAATGGCTTGAAGGATCTTTATTTAAAAAAAAAAAAAGAAAGCCAGGCTGGGCGCGGTGGCTCACACCTATAATCCCAGCACTTCAGAAGGCTGAGGTGGGCAGATTGCCTGAGCTCAGGAGTTTGAGACCATCCTGAACAACACGGTGAAACCCCGTCTCTGCTAAAATAAAAAAATTAGCCGGGAGTGGTGGCGCGTGCCTGTAATCCCAGTTACTCAGGAGGCTGAGGTACAAGAATTGCTTGAACCAGGAGGCAGAGGTTGCAGTGAGTCGAGATTGGGCCACTGCACTCTAGCCTAGGCGACAGAGTGAGACTCTGTCTCAAAAAAAAAAGCCAATATAACCACTATAACCACTGATGATGATGATGTTAGTAATAGTAATGATAGGAGGGTTAACATTATTGGGTATTTACTGCCATGTTTTAAGTTCTAAGTGCTTTATGTGTATTATCTCATTAAGGCTTCTGAACAATCTAAGAAGGTATTTTTTTAGTAGAGATGGCGTTTCACCATGTTGGCCAGGCTGGTCTCAAACTCCTGACGTCAGGTGATCCGCCCACCTCGGCCTCCCACAGTGCTGGGATTACAGGCGTGAACCACTGCACCCAGCCTGAAGGTACTTCTATCATCTATTTTGTAGATGGCTAAATAGATGGCATGAGTTTGAATCCTGACTTTCCCACTTACTAGCTATAAGACCTTAGATTAGTAAGTAGAAAAGTCAGAATTCAAACCTTGTGGCTCCAGAAACTCAGTTCTAGAATCACTTCACTGTTTTCTATACCTGGCTCTATGATTTAAAAGGTAATGATTGGCCGGGTGCAGTGGCTCATGCCTGTAATCCCAGCACTTTGGGAGGCTGAGGAGGGTAGATCACTTGAGGTCAGGAGTTCCAGACCAGCCTGGCCAACATGGTAAAACACCATCTCTACTAAAAATACAAAAATTAGCCAGGTGTGCTGGCACACGCCTGTAATCCCAGCTACTTGGGAGGCTGAAGCAAGAGAATCACTTGAGCCTGGGAGGAGGCAGAGGTTGTAGTGAGCCAAGATCGCGCCACTGCACTCCAGCTTGCGTGACAGAACAAGACTCTATCTCAAAAACAAAGAGAAGGAGGGAGGGAGGAAGCGGGAGAGAGAAGGAGAGACAGCGAGCGAGATAGAGTGAGCAAGCGACCACTATTAGAGAAATGTACAGGCATAGAATGCACTGGAGGGAAAGTCAGAGTTCAAATCCATATCCTCTGGCTCAGGAGGTGTAGGACAGATGACTTTTCTGGCTTATTTTTTAGATGACAGTTTATCATTACCCAGTTTGATTACCAAATGTAGTAGGAGTCATACTTTAAAGCAGATGACTATTATCGATAGCTGGCCAGAGCAATACTTCCTACAATCATTGAGCCAATGTGAGAATTACATTAAATACAATGAGAAAATAATGTTAAAATGTAAAAATGTATGCTGTAGAAATTATGACCACTACCTTAGCTCTGGAATGGTTTCAATACCCAGTCAATTTAAAAAAAAACTACACTAATTAGGCTGTGATTTGTTTAAAAATGACATTTCTCTTACTAGATGTAAGCCCCCAAAGATTAAGGGCAGATCTTATATGCTCAACTCTGTATTGGATTAGATACTATAACCAGAGTCTTTCAGGAGGGAAGGCTTCTGGCTTGGTGCCAATCCTGTTTAATGCTTAACTATGGGGAAACAGATAAAGGGCAGGCTCATGTGCCTAGGCTCAAAGATGGAGGATAAGGCGTCAGAAGCATGGGGGATGTGAGAGAAAATGAAGATGGAAAACCCAGTTTTCATGATGTATCTTTTCTTTCTTTTGTAGATGTGTTCTATGGTCAAGGGTCCTCAAAACTGGACATACACTTGGGGCTCAACAACATTTGACAATCTCACATTTCACACTTTAATTTCAGCTTTCTGAAATTATATGGAATATGCTTGCACCTTTGCTTATACTCTTCTTCATTCTCAGAATGTCATCTTAACCAATTTATGCCCATCATTTTTTTTTGAAGAGCTAAAGGTTTCTAACTTCCCAGAAGGCTTCAAATCAAGTCCTTAACCTGTTCACTGCTGTATTTCATGCTGATCCTCAGTTACTAATTTGTACACTATCACCAATCTGTTTACATGTGTTTAGATAAAATACATAAAATACGTGTATTTTATCTTCCCAACTAGGCTATTCCCCATCTTCCCAACTAGGCTATTCTCTCCTTGTTGAGACAAATGAAAGTGGTCTTTGGAGTTCTCTCTCTCTCTCTTTTTGTGACTGTGTCTCTCTCTGTCACCCAGACCGGAATGCAGTGGTGCAATCGGAATGCAGTGGCGCAATCTCAGCTCACTGCAACCTTTGCCTCCCAGGTTCAAGTGATTCTCCTGCCTCAGCCTTCTGAGTAGCTGACATTACAGGCGCCTGCCACCACGGCCGGCTAATTTTTGTATTTTTCATAGAAATGGGGTTTCACTATGTTGGCCAGGATGGTCTCACCCTCCTGACCTCAAATGATCCAGCTACCTTGGCCTCCCAAAGTGCTAGGATTAACAGACATGAGCCAGCGCACCTGGTCCTGGCCTGGAGTTCTTAAAATCAGACTCAGCTATGAAAAACAATGAGGCTAATAAAATAAACCCTCTTGTAAGTCACTCCATAAAGATAAAGGAAGGTAAAACAAATTTTTGAAAAATGTGTCATATTATATTGAAGACACGTGCTTATTTATGAAATAATAGGTATTTCTGCTTTAGAACTATAAATTAAAATCTGTAACATTTTGTTTTTATTTCTGAGATGGAGTCTCCCTGTTGCCCAGGCTGGAGTGCAGTGGTAGCTCACTGCAACCTCCACTTCCTGGGTTTAAGCAATTCTCCTGCCTCAGCCTCCCGAGTAGCTGGAATTATAGGCCCTGCCACCTTGCCCAGCTATTTTTTGTATTTTTAGTAGAAACAGGGTTTCACTATGTTGGCCAAGCTGACCTCGAACTCTTGACCTCAAGTAATCTGCCTGCCTATACCTCTCAAAATGCTGGGATTACAGGTGTGAGTCACTGTGCCCGGCCTAAAATCTGTAACATTTTAAAATATGAGACATATCATTGCTTTTTGGGATGGAGAGGAAGGAAAAAAATCAGTCACAGCACAGGAAACTGCACATATTTTCCTATTCTATAACTACAGATTCAAGGTATATGCTGTATCTCTATTTCAAATACCGACCGCCAACCTCTATTTTCCCTCCTATTTCTCTCTCCCAGCAATGAGGACTTTCTAAAGAGCTGAGGAATAGAATAAGACATTTGCTCATCTACCTGTATTGCTGGAAACATAAGACAATGCCAGACAATATTTACTTGCCAATACCCATGTGTTGCAGCTCTTAAACATTAATAAATGAATACTGCAATAAAATGAGGATAAAACAAAGCTGCTATGACTAATAAAACTCTTAAGACTATAAAGTTGTATATTACAGAAGTGTTTTTCCTGTATTAAAAGGAGAGCATAGAAGATGTATTGTAGTTGTGCACTTAATTTATTCAAAATCATCTCTACCCAAAGTACATAAAAGAGACACTGTACCTGATATGTTGGCACTGAAGTATAGGGGATGACTACTCCTTGAATCTGATTTCCAATGCTGTTGGGTTGGCCACTGACTAGGCTCTGACTCTGGGGTTGCTGAACTCCAACTATTCCTTGGTAGTTTTGCTGCTGGTTGGGTATAACTTGAAAACCTGTAATGGCACAAGGAGTTAAATCCTGCTCTGAATTCATTTCATCTAATAAGATTAAAAAAAAAATTTAAGCAAGTACTTTTATGCTCTAAAATGCTAAAATTTTGATTACATGGTAAATCCCTAAAACCATCTATTATGAAATAACATTTTAGCCCAAGTTACCTACATTCCCTCACTAAAATATATTGAAATAAAATGTGCCTACAAAGATTTCTTCTACAATTGCAAAGATTATAGAGTCACACACTTAGATAACATAGAACAATTACTATTCAGGGCATATTGCAATCTATTATGACAACTAGTTTCTCAGGACCAGGAGCTGCTACATAACATGAGCCCAGAGTAAATGGAAAATATGTAGGGCCCCTTGTTAAAAACAAAAACAAAAACAAACAAACAACAAAAAAAACAATTAAGAATTTCAAGTTGGTAATAACAGAATATTAACACAAGCATGGGGCTCTATGCATCTGCAGAGGTTCCATTCCCATGAAACTGTTCCTGCTGGGGATTTAAAAAAAAGGCAGGGGAGAGAACCACTTTTGAATGTGTCAAAGACACAGACAAATGGAGTTATACAGTAATTTTTTAGATTATTTCTTCACTGTTTGATTAAGGTCACTTGACAGATCATTAAACAAACCAACTAATCTGCTCAAGGTCACAAAGCAAACACCTAAACTGACTGTTGGTAATTTAAGTGGTAAGTTAAGTGCACAAATTTCCTTTTATCAAGTAAATTTTTTTACTTAACAAGAATCTACAATGATAAGCTCTAAGTAGTGAATATGAATTGTATTTTGTCTCCTGATCCTAAAAGGATTCTTTTAGGTATACTAATTAGCTAAAGACTCATGTAATTTACTAGATGCTAACCCCCAAGGTTTTTATTTTCTATTTTTTAAAGAACTAGATAAAAATAATCATCTAGCTTCAGAGTATTGAAAAGTTTTTACAAAGATGAACTGAACTAGAACACCACCTATACAGACTTCAACAGCTAAAGTGCAATGAAATTGTTTCCCTGATAACACCATAAATACATTTTGTTATCAGTTTTCATTTACATCCTCACTAATTTCTAAAGTAACAGAAATGGCAATTTCAAGTATTGATTATAGACAGCAGCATCACTGTAGTTGTCTGGTAGCCTTAATAATTCTGCTCAAGGACCCAACAATTGAATAAAATCTAGCATCCATCTTCTCTAAAAATTTAACTACAAAGTATATCCTGTAACAAAGCAACACATTAAAATTAAGAAACTAAAAATCTTGGCCAGGTGTGGTGGTTCATACCTATAATCCCAGCACTTTGGGAGATGGATGGATTGGGGGGATGGAGGTGGGTAAGCTCAGGAGTTCGAGACCAGCCTGGGCAACACGGCCAAATCTTGTCTCCACAAAAAAATACAAGATAGCGCCACTGCACTCCAGCCTAAGCGACAGCATAAGACCCTGTCTCAAAAAACAAACAAACAAAACCAACCAACCAAACAAAAAACCCCCAAAACACAGAAAAAAAAAACAAAACCAAAGTAAAAATTCAGTTATAGTGAATCCCTTAACAGTGAAGGGCTTTTGTAAAATGATGTTATTTCTATGGCAACAGTACTTTATGGCCATGTTTCCAATGACTTCCTTCTCACCAATTTAACTTTGTACAAAAAAAATGTGTATTTTAGTTCTTATCTGTAATAAAGTGATTGATAATATGCTGTTTGCTAAACCTTTATTCCTTGTGAATTTCCTATACAACTTAAACTTATAGGCAGGTAAAGGCAGAGAACAGAATAAACTTCTTCCTTTTTAATCTAACAATTAACATTTCACACTATTTTCAGTTCATTAAATGACAAGTATTTCAAATTTACACCCCAAATTCCAAACACCATTAAAACATACAATGACAAATTTCCACCCTTAGAAAAATAACACAGGAATGAAAATGAAATGTGAACATGAGACCTTTTTTTGTGTTGGAAATGCTACCTCAACATATACACACATCTATAGAAGCATCAGAATTTGGGTTCTGTATAGACTGGGACAATAACTTCTTAGAACAGACTTGGTAGAATTATAGTCTACTGAAATGAAAACAAACTGTATATATCTGGCAGAATTCACTGTAATATAATCTGACTTAAAATAATTTGACTTAAAACAGTCATATCCCCCTAAGAAACTAAAAATGTTATGCATATTACTTCTGTAGTCTATTCAAGAACTATTCAAGGTTGTAGGTTGCCTTGAAAGAAAGCTTTAAAAAACAAGGCCAATTTATGTGCAAATGTGCTTCTGATTTTTTTTTTTTTCTGAGATGGAGTCTCACTCTGTTGCCCAGGCTGGAGTGCAGTGGCACGATCTGGGCTCACTGCAGCCTCCACCTCCCGGGTTCAAGTGATTCTCCTGCCTCAGCCTCCCAAGTAGCTGCGATTACAAGCACATGCCATCATGCCTGGCTAATTTTTCTATTTTTACTGGAGATGGGGTTTCACCACATTGGCCAGACTGGTCTCCAACTCCTGACCACAGGTGATCCGCCTGCCTTGGCGTCCCCAAGTGTTGGGATTACAGGCGTTAGCCACAGTACCAGGTCTGATTCTTTTTACTTATCTAAATTTAAAAATTTTTTGAGACTCGTCTTGGAGGTCTCCTGCTTAAAATTCTCTATTATGATAAAAGGTCTGAGACAAAAAATGCTTTCAATAAATACCTATGGAAGCCATGTCGTAGTGATTTAATGTGGGGTCAGTTGGACTCTAAGTCATGGAATTTGTTTTTTTGCTTTGTTTTATTAGAGACAGTCTCACTCTGTTGTCAAGGCTGGAGTGCAGTGGCATGTTCACAGCTCACTGTACACTCGAGCTCCTGGGCTCAAAGGATCCTCCCCACCTAGGCCTCCTGAGGAGCTAGGACTATGGGTGTGCACCACTATGCCTGGCTACATCACGAAAGCTCCATCAGCACATTTCCAATGGTATCTTATTCTCTTTTTTTTCCCAGATGCAGTCTCTATCGCTCAGGCTGGAGTGCAGTGGTGCAATCTTGGCTCACTGCAACCACCATCTACTGGGTTCAGGCAATTCTCTTGTCTCAGCCTCCCCAGCAGCTGGGACTACAGGCACGCACTGCCATGCCCGGCTAATTTTTGTATTTTTAGTAGGGGTTTCACCATGTTGGCCAGGCTGGTCCTGAACTCCTGACTTCAGGTGATCCACCCACCTCAGCCTCCCAAAGTGCTGGGATTACAGGCGTGAGCCACCATGACTGGCCTGGTATCTTATTCTTTAATGCAGCCTAATCTCCTTTAATATCCATGCCTACTAATTGCCACACACACACACAAACACACACACACACTCTGTTTACAAACATCACGCACATTTTGAAAATTTGACATGAAATATAAAACAGTTGATCTCAGCATCTGGTCATTTGTTACAAAGGGTAGTAAAAAGGACACCATCTGGGTTAGATAAAGATAGATATGACATGGTCCCTATCTTTGAAATTAGGCATTTTTAGTCACCATACCATATGAGGATAGCAGTATAAATAGAGTCTTATGAAAACAAGAGGAAGAAATTAGTCCTGACTGATATTTATAGAGGTAGTGACATTTGGGCTTGGACTTAAAGGAAAAGCTCATTCCAGCAAAAGTAAAAGGTTTGGAAAAAGTAAGACAGTTAATATGTTTGAGGAATGGGGAATAGTCAAGAAGGAATGAATATGGTATGTGAAATGATAAGTGGAAGAGGAAGGTACAACAGAATACTGGTGAAGAAGCAAAGGTTTTACACATAGAAGAGTGATGAGAACTACCAGGAAGTTCTAGAGTTTAAAGATTGTGAAAGTAGAAAAAACACTAACATCTCAGTACTTCATTCAGAAGTAGCATAAATAAGCCAGGGTTGAGTTTTTGAACACAGTGGAGCTATTAAAAATAATAATGCCAAGCACTTAAAAAAATACCTTCACTAAGAATCTTATTAATCCCTTCACGATTTTGTCCATTCTCTTTTGCCACATTTCATAAAACTCTGCAGGTAACATAAACGTTTGCTGATTAGTTGTTCTCTCATGGTTTGTGTAGGCTTTTTTTTTTTTTTTTTTTGAGAGTCTTACTCTGTCCGCCAGGTTGGAGCGCAGTGCCGCCATCTTGGCTCAGCGCAACCTCCGCCTCCCGGGTTTAAGTGATTTTCATACCTCAGCCTGCCGAGTAGCTGGAATTACAGGCGCGTGCCACCATGCCTAGCTAATTTTTGTATTTTTAGTACAGACAGGGTTTCGCCATGTTGGCCAGGCTGGTCTCGAACTCGTGACTTGCGGTTATCTGCCCGCCTTGGCCTCCCAAAGTGTTGGGATTATAGGCATGAGCCAAGGCGCCCGGCCTGAATTTAAATTTTAAGGTAACACTGGGCCAGCGCGGTGGTTCACACCTATAATCCCAGCACTTTGGGAGGCTGAGGTCAGTAGATCACCTGACATCAGGAGTTAAACCAGCCTGACCAACATAGTGAAACCCCATGTCTACTACAAATACAAAATTAGCCAGGCGTGGTGGCGCATGCCTGTAATCCCAGCTACTTGGGAGGCTGAGGCAGGAGAATCACTCAAACCTAGGAGGCAGAGGTTGCAGTGAGCTGAGATCGCGCCATTGAACTCCAGACTGGGCGACAAGAGCAAAACTCCATCTTAAAAAAATAAAAATTAAAATTAAAAAAATTTGAAGGTAACATTGGTTTATAAGATTAAACATATTTAATCACCTTTTCATTAAAATGACACTCTCACGAATACAAATCACATCAGACTGGAATTTGTGGATCACTCATTAAGTCTCTCCTAGAAAACTGTACAGCAGCTAAATCAGATTCCGTATGATTAGCCTCAAGGTGCTTAGGAAGAACTCAAATAAAGAATACAAACTGTTTAACTTTATATCTAGTATATAAAGCTTGTAATGAAGGTATTATTTGAATATTTTTA